TAGTCATTGTCTAATTTAAGTAGTCTACGTAAAGGTTTTATACTAGTTGTCATACCTGGAACCTGCTTGTAGGTTCTCTATTTAACTATTCTAGTTTCTGTATTCATTTACTTACTTCTGCTTACTAATAATCTTAACTGATATCAATGAAAATATACTATGGTTACTAAGTCTTTAAAGCAGTTTTTTTGGAACCTTTAACCTTGTACTAAACCTTTCAAAATCTTTTGTATCTTATTCTTACAGCTGACCTGGTATTGCTATGGCCAATACCAACACTGATAGTCAGAATGTATTATTAAATCACTATGTTCTTGTAGAGTTTATCTCAATCCTGATACTGACTTTACAACATATCTTTACTATTTTGGTATTCAATTCAAGTTCTACCAAGCTGTCATTTTAGATAGTCCAGAAAGATAGGTCATAACACATCTCTGATTTATATGTTTACTAGCATATTTCTTTTTTCTCCAAAATTCAGAAATTTTAATAGCTTGATTAGTTTTTTTAGTCTTTTTTCAAAAACTGGCATATTGCTCAGTTTTACAAGTTTTAGCTTTGTTTCATTAGTCTAGTCTTTACAGTAGTATCATTAAAAGTTTAGGTTACTTCTTTATTCGAGTCTTCCAAATAGGCTTCTGTTTTCCTTTTTTTGATTTTTATGATTTATATGACCACAAGGACTTATTATAGATTTGTACCACCCAGTACCAGTTTGCACTCCTTCATATAATCACAGACCTTGTCTCAAAGGACAATATTATGTAACTGTTATACAAATGCCATGTGACCTGCCAGTCATGCTGGTGTGATACAAGTAACAGATATCTTATTCAAACCAATTGTAAAGACAGTTAATCATAACACAAGAAAGATTTTTAAATTTTCTGTTAATACTGGAATTTGAACTTTGGATCTGCCACTTGAAGGTTGATAACCTGACCACTTCACTAAGTTGCCATATCTTATATATTAAAATTTTAAAGATTATATTTAAAATTTTTTATTATTAAACTTTTTCAGGATTTTTTAAAATTTCATATGTCTCTAAAGCTAAAAAAATTTTTTACACTTTATACAAGTCTAAATTTTTATAAATAAATTGCAAAAGTATTACTAATAAAAATTATTATTTTTTATATAAACTAAAATATTGTATTAAGAACTATAGCTTTAAAATTAATATTTAAAAAGTTTACCAAAAATTTATAAATAATTTTTTTAATTTAAAATTTTTTCTAAATTTGTCTTTTTTTAACTTATAATATATATTTTTTTTCTTATAATATAAAATTAAATACTGCTATAATATAATTTTTATTTTTAAATATTATCAAATAAAATTTTGTTTAAATATTTTAAAATTTAAAAAAAATAGATCATAAGTATATTTTTAATAATTTTTTAGACAAATTTGCCTGAAAAAAAACTTACAAATTAAGAAATAATATTATTCTAGCTTATTAATTAATATGTTTACTATTAAATTTAAAAATACTTAAACTTTTTTTGAAAGCAATTGCATTGTCAAATCTAATAACTAAGTGCTTATTAGTAATACAAATCAAAATATTAGTCAGTTAAAAAAAAAAATCTAAAAAAAACTTACTTCTGTTTATAAATATTTTGATATACTTGGAGATAAAACTTGTGTTTACAAAATTTATAATAAAAATAAAGCCATTAGTAGATGAGATTCTCATATATCATTATTAATAATAATATGCCATTTTAAATGACACTACTAGAACATCTTTAAAGAAATATAAAAATCTAATAAAACACTTTCTTGTTCTTCTTTGTATTTAATTTTTGTTAAAAATCATATAGAATTATTGAATCAATATTTATTAGAGTTAATTGTAATTAGCTAACAATCTTTTTTACTTATAAAAAAGAATTGCTTTATAAAATTTATTACTGTTCTTAATTTATATTATAAAATCTTTTGCTATCAAACTATTTCAAAAAATATTAAAAAATATATAAAATAAAAAATTTTTTAAAAAATAATTTAAATAAACTATCTCTTATCTTAAATATATAGACTGCATACACTCAACAATCATTTCTCAAAGTCATTATCTATTAGGTAGATATTAAATAGACAATATGTATTTTCTTCTTAATTTTATCTCTCTATATAATGTTCATACTGACAATTACCTAGAAGAAAAATTTTTAAACTTTTAGAGAAATTTTAAATTAAAAAAAATAATTAGGTTCACAGAAGATAATACATTAAATAATCAAACTTGTTTCCATTATCATTAGCAATATATAAGCTTTAAACTTATATATGTATATTGTGTTATACATGTTCTTAATCTTATTATAAAAGAAGATCAAAAACTTTGTATAAACTAAATAAAAAAAAACACAACATTTTTGTAGCAAAATCAAACACTTACCATTACTTATAAAGATATGAAAAAAATATCAACTATTCTAAATCATCTCTATCTTTACTCTAAACTTAATGTCAATATAAATAAAATTCTATTTATCTTATACTTAAATGACTTATTGAAATTAAAGATATAACTAACAACTTTGTTTAATTACATTTTAATTTAAAAAATAAATATCTTAAATCTAATAATTAGAAAATAATTAATAATATATTAAAACTTATTTAATCTTTTTATAAAATAACTTTAATATTTTTTGATTCTTTGTTACCTTTTTATAAATTTTTAAGACTAATTATTTAAGATCTTTTTGTGCATTTGGATTATTATATTCAAAATATTAATAAATATCATGAAGTAAAACAAGAATAAAAACAAAATTAAAAAATTACTGATTCTATCTCTTTTAATCTTCTCTTATTTCTGCACTTTTGAATTTATTAACTAAGTTCAAAACCTTTGATGAAGAAAAACATCAGTTAACTATAAATTAGCTAAAAATATTATATTCAATATATACTATTGATAAGATGATCATGCTCTCTAAACAAGAAAATTTATTAAATACTTTTTGCAAATTAGTTAAATTAAACAAAACTGAAAACAAAACAGATTCATAGATTAAAAATTTAATAAGTAAATTGACTACCTATTTTGCATTACCTTCAAAACCAGATATTAACCTATTATGGTAAAAAAATAATTCTTCTAGTTTTTCAATCATTACTTCTATAACAGCAGATTACTATACACTTCAAGTTACAAGGGTTCCATGTAAGCATGTCTTTTCTGTCATAAAGCACACAATTAATTTTACATGAAACTGTCTTCTTGAACAAACAACTAAAACTTATTATGTCTAAAAAATTGGATAAAAACTGATTATTTTAGAATAAACAAATAAAAATTTGTAAAAATTTTTAAAAATGTAACTTATCTTTGAATTAAAGATTTACTTGGGTAATTGTTAGTCCAATAGATCCAATGGTCTGTTTTACAGTAACTTGGACATTGAATGCTTACAATATCCAATACCTAATTAATTATTAGATTAGATTTATAAAGTGTTAAAATTTTATAGTTCAAATACTTAAATAAACAAATATTTTTTACGTCTTCACGGGTACAACTCCTACTTTGGATATTATTGGTGACATTACATGTTGTGACCAAATGTCACATGAAATAGTGAGTTCGGTCCCAAGTCTGACTCAGGACCGAGTCCAAATTAAAATTCGACTCCCGGAGTCGAGTCGGACCGAACAGGACTTTTAACATCCCTAGCAACTTATAAAAAAATTAATTTACAATACTAGATCATTTCACTAGTACATGTTATGATTATAATCCCACACCATTTTTATTATAATAAAATGGTGTGGGATTATAATCGTAACATGTACTGGCGGAATGATCTAGTATTGTAAATTAATTTTTTTTATATGTTGCACCGGGTGAAGGATCAATCGTGTAACATCGACGGTTCCTCCTGTTACCAGCATCAGCCGTGACATCTATTGAATTTGGTTAGCTAATTATCAAGATATTATCAAAGATATCTTTGCTCAGTTATAATACAATTACCGATATATTGACAACTATCTAATTAAATTTACCTTAATAATTGAATTCGGTTAGCTAGTTATCAAGATATCTTTGCTAAAGAATGATTCACATGATCGAAATCTTTCATTCATCACCATTAGTTATGCTAAAATATACAGTAGAGAAAAAACTTTGATTCAACTGTTTTTTTATCAAGTTTCATTTTGCGTAACATAAATGCAGCATAAATGATTACGTAGGATGAATGAGATGTGCTAATTTTGTTAATCTATCGAAATCATAATTGCCCACGAGTATATCAGGCGGCCCTATCGATCATTGCTGCAGCATCCCGCTATTTGTTTCATTTAAAATATTAATATTGCTCAAACTTTGCCACGGCAGGAAATTATGATGCCCTACTGTAGAAGTTCAGACAATGAAACAAGGTACTGCAACAATGATCGACCCAAACTTTGAGGGGGTTGCCCTGATATACTTCTTTTCTACTCTCTTTTGATTCAAAAAAAAAAAAAAAACCAATGTTGCGAAACTACTGACGAAAACTCGTGTTAACCTTATCTCTGGCATATTAATTTGCCGCCTCATTAAGTAAATAGTATGGTTGGTTTGTTAAATAGCAGATAAATAAATACGGGTATTGTTTAATAATCAATGAAATGGGTATGGGTGCAACAGTCATTAGTAAATGTAAAAAGATAAATAATTGTGTACCCCATGAAGATTGTAGGTGGAACCAGCTAAAAACAAATATCCGCATTTTTATCCGAATTATCGGATATATCCAGATTAATTGAATTACGGATATTACGGATCTACTCAATTACGAATTACGGATATTACGGATCTACTCTAAATTACAATTATAGAAAGATATTTAAACTTCCTTTAAGAGTTTGTATTACCGGAAATCCATGCCTTGGACCCTTTTATACTTGATTTACAACATTCGGTCAACTTTCATCGCATATCTTATCTTGACTTGTAAAAAAAGTTAAATGAATCAAATTGTGGTTATTTTAGGCCTTTGTCTACTATTAGGCATTTCACTTTTCAGTTTTCCCAAAGACTTTGGTAATGTACCTCAGCAAGAAATTTCGCGCCTTACAGGATACAAAGCATGGCATCCCAAAGTAATCGGTCTGTACATATATAACTTTATTTGATGAAGAAAGAAAATTGTCAATTTCGTCCTCATTCGATTTTTATATAGGTTACAGTTCACAAATGTCCGATGCGATGATTTTTCTCACTTTACTTACAACGGGTGCTGCCTCATATCTGTCCATAAAATGGACTGAAAAACTTCCTCTTAACAAAAAGTATATTTCGTACTTTATCAAAGATGGTGACAAAGTACCCACAATAGCATTTGACCGAATTATTGCATATTACGTTACAATAACTTTTATTGCAGTGGTTGCTTATGTGATATTTGATGTCGGTAAATTATGGTCTGCAACTGGTGTTTTGCATAATGTATTTGAAATTGCGGTTATGTTGTCATTACATTACGGTGGTAAACTCGAGTCGCATGTAGCATTTATTTGGATGGGTGTTTACGTTTTTTTAGTTATTTCCCTGAATTTATGGCTCGAATGGCCACAGGATGCAAGTTGGTTCAAATTTCAAGGTATGTTATTGATACGAAATATTGCAAAGAATTTGAATGTAATCTAATTAAGTTTTTTTTTTTTTTTAAAAAAAAAAAAAAAGGTCTTTGTCTCGACTACTCATTGATCGTAGTATTCGTACGGTTGTATTTTACAACCCTTAAAAAGATCCGCGAATACGAGTCTATGGAAATTCCTCTAAACAGAGACGATATAGCCCAAACAACGGATTTCTCTTTCAACTTTTATCCAAATACTGTCCATCATCCTTCTCAGATTTGGTTATTAATTTTAGCGTCGATTGTTCACCTTATTGGTAACATCGGTAATTCTATTTGGGTGGATAGTGGTTTAGCGTAAGTATGAAGTTACAATTCGGTTAACAAAAATATACATTAAATACGATATATAAATTTTTATTTTTTTAGGTTTTTTGTGTTTCATGCAAGCTATATGACCGCTTTCGTGCTATACGCTTACTACATCTACATAGATACACATTGTATGAATTATACCGGAGTTTCGCATAAACTAATTTATATATTTGACACCTCTCTATACAAAGTAATTTCATGTGTTCTTTTCGGAATACTTTGTTCGGTAGCGACGATTCGATTTGCCGTATTCATTCAAACTACCCAAAATTAGATATATAAATACTGTATAATACTGTATATGAAATTAGCTGTTAACGCTTTATATATATTTTTTGTAAGTTAGTTAAGTTTTACAAATCATTAGTTGTACTCATTGGATTCGTAAATATGTATAAATATACAAGATAGTTTGTACGTATTCTCATAGTAGTGTTAGTAATTTTAAGTTTTATTCTCTCGATTATTTAGTGAAAATATATATTATTATTTTTACAAATATATATTAAAGTTATATAGCCAGTTGCATAACAACTGTTTGACTTCATAATAGGACTTAGGTAAATGTTGTATATATAGGCAGAGTCTACGGATAGCGTATATAAACAGTAATTGCGCAATTAACATTAGCTGATCACAAATCTTTAACAGATTATGTGAATTTGCACAGTTTTTAAAAGTAAGGTTACAACTTAAAATGCTAGTAAAATTAAACTTAACTTTACTACTATTAATATTGGATTAGTAAAATTAATTAGTTTTATCGGAATATTTAGTTACAATCTGAGATTTAATAAAAACAAATAGTAAATTTTGTATTTAATTTAAATAATATTGTTAGTTATTTAAAAAGTTTACTAGAAACAAAAGATCTTAAGAGAATATAAAGAAAATAGCAATAAAGTAGAAAAAATAAATACAGTCAACCCCTGTTAGTATCAACCTCGTTAATATCAACCTAAGCCACAAATCAAATTTTTATAAATAAAAAAGATTGACAATCTCTCTCTCTTGACCACTATATTTAGGAAAGAGGGCAATTTTAAAAAAGACAAAATATACTCTACACAGGGTTTCACTAACTTCAAAAACAGTAGCAGAACAGGAACTCTTTCTCTTGTTCCCAAAAAGTACAAGATTTTTGTTTTAGAAGTCTACAGAAACAAGAAAAATAAATTAATCATTAATTTTTTAACAAAAAAACAATTAATAACTGAAACTATCTCTTTTTCTAAAGTGTATACTATGACAACAAAAATTAGTCAAGAAGTCTTATTTGACTCTATACAAGATGACTCTCTAAACAATATTAGTTGGAATGAGCAAGTTATTTTAAAAAACAAAACAAGAGTTTCTAAAGAAAGGAAAAATCAAAACAGCTTTACAGTTATATCTATTTTCAAAACATATCTTGAAAGACAAAACAACAAAGAAAAACAAAATAACAACAACTTCATATATTGAACAAAACAACACATCTTATGTAAAATCTAATATAACAGATATAAACAAAAGCAAAGTGATCGTGAACAAACTATGATCAAGCTTATTTGCAAAAGTCAAAAAAGGTCAATCAACCTTCTTTTCATTCTTACCAAGAAATAACATCAGGTCTAAAAATGATAATATTCTTATTTTAGATATTCATAATCTAAATGATTCACTAAATAATATTATGATTTCTCTTTATGAGACAGCTGGACAAGACATAATTACTGCTAAGTCACATATCAATAGAGGATCTTGTATTTACCTAGAACTAATTTTTACAAATAAGAAAAAACTCAAGCACTATACTATAAAAGAGATTGAAAATTTTAATTATATATACTATGGGCATATTTCTGTCAACACTAAAAAATTCTTTTTGCTAATTAAAATCAGAAATATTCCTTTAGGTAACAAGAAATTTATTTCAAATAGAATCAAAAATGTATTCGAAAATTTTAGTAAAATTGCTTTAATTAAGTTACTCTTAATAGAAAGTACTCCTTACCTAACTGATCAATAGATTATTACCTTCAAGATCACAAAAGACTCAGATTTAGAAAAAAGGATTTCTTGATTCTATATTATTTTAGATAACAAAGTTATCATAGAGTGGCATGCAGCACCCAAGCTATGCTACTTTTGTGACAATGAAAAACATATCAAAAAAGATTGCACTCAATACAAAAAAGCTATTAAACTTTGTCATTACTATAATGATTTTCTTTCTAATAAAAGAAAAGAAAAGCTTCCTTCAACAAACTTAAAAAATATGAATACAGATCAGTAAGAACAAAATAATCTTATAAAAGAAGTAAACTTTAATAATTCTCAATCAGAAAAAATTTTTCCTAACACCTCTAACACTAATAAGAATGAGGAAACAAATAACTCTATATTAATAGAAAAAGATTTAGATGGTTCAATTGATGAAGACATTAGTGATGCTAGCAATGAAGTTTCTACTATAGAAAACCTAATGACAGATCATGTTTTGGAAATAGAACAACCTATTTCTCTAAGCATACCAGTAGTGTTAATTACAAATGATAATACTTAACAAATTTAACTTGAAATTTCTGATGATGGATTTATTTTAATTTTACAAAGAAAAAGAAAAGATAAAAAAAACAAAAATGATTTTACAAATCAGAATATTGTAACAACTAGGCCAGCTCCATACAAGAAATCTCACAATAGAGTACAAAACTTACAGATTTAATATCTGTATTACTCTATTCATAATATAACTAGACAATCAAATTTAAAATTGCAAGCCTTAACATAAAAGTGCTAAACAATCAACAAAAACAATAAAATACTTTAACTCTTTTAAAATCTTACAAACTAGATCTTATTATATTACAAGAAACAAACTTAAATAATAAGAATATGTAAAGCTTTCTGAAAAACTAGTGGATTTTTAATTCAATTTGGACAAACAAGACAGCTATATTCACAAACAACAAAGATATAATATTTAAAGATACAAAAATGAATATAGATAATAGAATTATTACTACTAATTTTAAATTCAAAGATCTTATATTCCAAGTCTCCAATATATATACTCCTCTGAACTCTAATGATAGAAAACTTTTTTTCGAGAAATGGATACCTTAAATCAATAAAAATGGTATTAACATAATTGAAGGTGACTTCAATACCAATTTATATTCAGAAAAAGATAGAACTAGTAAGGCAGCACCTCAACAAGACTCAACAAGAGTGCAACTTCTAAACCTTACTAGAAACCTTACAGATTTCTTAGATTTTGCAAAAACAAGACTCTTTCATATATTTTTCTAAAAAACACAAGGCAATTATACAATGGTCACTCATTTAGATTATATCTTTATTGATAAAAATAATGCTCATCTTATTTTACAAATTGATACAAAGTTTGGCAACTCAAATCACCTTTTGGTAGAATGTACTCTTTGTTTAAAACTAAAAAAAGAAAGTTAGCTCTTTGAAGATTTAATAAAAACTGCTTTATAAATGAAAAACTAAAAAAAAAAATGCTTGAAGAAATTACTACATTTGAAAAAACAGATAACTAAGACTTCTGTAAAGTTTACATATAATCTATTATAAGAGCATTTAAAAAGCCAAAAGCTGTAGAAAACAAGATTGCAAAACTAAACAAAAATATAACTTAACTAAAGAAAAGACTAGCACATAACTCAGAAAACTCTTTCCTATATAATCAAGTTGACAAACTAAATCTAGATCTTCAAAACAAACTATTATACTTTATAGAAAAATAGCAAATATATTCAAAAGTACAATGGATTGAGCAAGGAGAAAAATTAAAATACTTTTTTGCTAGATATAAAATTAAAAAAGCCTACTCATTTTTGAAAACCATCAAGGATCCTGAGACCCTATCACATTCAAGTAAAAATCTTTTCAATATATTAGAAACACTTATGTCAAGATATATACAAAAAAAGACATAAATATTAACTTAGCTAAAAAGATTACAGAAAATTTGCCGCAAGCTTCATCAGCTCATAATTCAGTACTTATGTAAGAAATTACTTAAGAAAAAATTAATAATGTTATTAAAAACCTTTCAAACAACAAAATACCAGATACCAATGGCCTAACATATAAGTTCTACAAACTCACAGAAGAGACTATAACTCCAATTCTGTACAAAGTATTTAATTGAGCTTTAAGCTCAGGAATCATGTCAACCTTATAGTGCAAAAGTCTGATTTTCTTAATACCTAAAAAAACAACAGATCTAGAAAATGTAAACAATTGGAAACCCATATCTTTAGTAAATAGTGATGCCAAAATATTTATGAAGATTATAGCAAATTGTTTGAATTTTATTTATGAAGAACTCATACCACATTAGCAATATGAATTTATACAAAACAGATCAATTAGAAATATAGCTCTAGATATTATTACTATTATGAAAAACCAATCAGACTTATTTAAACAACACTGGCTACTCTTTGTAGACTAACAAAAAGCCTTTAACCAAGTAAGTCATAACTTTTTAAAGCTTATCTTAGAAAGCATGAACTTTGATTCTAAATTTATTAGTCTGGTTCAAAATTTTTTTCCTGCCAAGAAGCCTATATTGTCGAGGCAAGTTATATCTTTAAACTTTTTAGAGTAGAAAGAGGTGTTAGACAAGGTGATCATCTTTTACCTCTGCTATATATACTAGCTTTCGAGCCACTTATAATAACTTTAGAAAGACAAATACAAGGAATCAAACTAAAAAATATATATTTCAAAACTTCAGCATATGCTGATGATTTGATTATAGGAATTGGATCTTCTTCAAATTGGAATAAAGTACAATCTTTATTAAGCTTATATGAGACTGCATCAAATACAAAAATCAATAAAGCAAAAACAAAACTAGTTTCTCTTATCTCTACTGCACAAAGAGTAGAACTCTGTAATGAAGACCAGTTTACTAAACTAGAAGAACAGAATACTATTACTATTTTAGACTACAAGGTTCTTATA